TTAACAATAGGCTTTGTGACAGAAAAACTATATTTTATGAATAATTAGATCAGAACATTTTATTAGGATCAAACTTTGACGTAAAATATAGGATGTGGTGCAATCCAGCAAACTAAGAATAGACATGGCTAGAAACACGGGGTAGAAAGAATAGCCATGACGTCGCCGTTATTACGGGTCCGGAGTAGGGTATGGGGGAGAGCACCGCAATCTGTGGAGAGTTTTATTATACTGGTAGGGAGATGGGAGAGGGATTCAAAAAATCCTCTGCTCGCAGGGTAGTTTTACCTCAAAAATCAGTACGATTTCGCATTCGCCTAGCCCCCTTTTCCCTTCTTTTGATATTTAGTAGGTGATTCGTGTGATTGAACACAGTGCTTTATTGTTTCAAGTGACGGGTGTTTCTATCGAACAAATATATACTGACAATCAAAACATCATACTTGGTTAAATAATGAAAATAGCTGTAGCTAAACTTATTTTGTATTCACATGCATTGAACGTTTTATGAATAAAAGTTGTTCCTTGGGCGAGTCATCTAATTGTTTGTATTTCGATGAGTCAACTTCGTAGAACTCAATTAGGGTGAAACAAAAGCATAAAGTAAAAAGAGTCTAATCCTTTAACAATAGGCTTTGTGACAGAAAAACTATATTTTATGAATAATTAGCTTTTATTAGGATTAAACTTTGATGTAAAATATAGGTAATGTACTCTTGAACCTCAAAATCACTCGAACCTGGTGCAATCCAGCAAACAAAAATAGATATGGCTGACCACCCCTCCCCCTACGGAACCTCACTGGAACCTCACCTATAGAATACGTCGCCGTTATTACGGGTCCGGTGTAGGGTCAGGGGGAGAGCACCGGTTCGCACCGGTGGCACCGGGTGCAGAACCGCCATTTCATATCTACTTGTAGTCGCACTGTGATTGTTATTCAAATACTCTGTCTATCTTTTTATTATTTTTATATGGTCAGTGGCTTTGGTATAGTGAAATAATTACCAAACGCCGACTATAGTTTGTCGTCTTGATATGATTCGAGGTTGGTAGGGGCCATTCTGGCGTATTATTAATTCAATCTGCTATTTAAATACGAAAAGTTAAGGCCAATATCTTAGTAATACAAAAATAAATTCATAACAAAAGATTTCATAGTTCATCATAGACCAACACGGAAGCGAGGCTATCACTGACAATGTTAGAAGATTGTTTGGCGTTTTCTTGACCTTTTTGACGAGAGTGGGAATTAGCTGAAAATACAAGATTGAGTTTTTTATCTTACACCACGTCGAAGTGCATATATATATATTTCCTTTTAATTATATTACGTCTTCCGTTTTAGAAGTCTTTTATTTGTGAGCAAGTTGCTACACCGCAAAGCGGTTTCGTAATGTTTCTATTGACTAAATTAAATATAAAGAATCAATACATTTCTTTTTTACTTCATTATTCAGTATGATTACTAGATTCCATTTTGGTCCTCATTGACTCTTCTTCCACTAGTGTTTATTTTGATGACTTCGAAGATTCGCTCAACTTCCCTTGATTCACCAGATGCTTTATTTTTCTATTCATCACACGCTTTTAAGGCACAAGGTCATTCCTTTTCCGCTTCACGGAACTGATCCCCCTAAACTTTTAAGAGAAATCCATCCGGCTAATTCTAGAGAAAAAAGAAAACCTGTGGGGCCGTGTTAGTTCCTGTATTTGACCTCTATCAGCAAAAACAAACATATCTAAGTTTTCAAACGACACCTCACTCAGGCTCTTTAATAGTATATCTGATATTCTTTTTGGGGGGGAGGGGGTGGGGGTAGAGTTGGTAGAAAATCATAGGAAAAAGACTAGAGAAGAAAGAAAACCTCTGGGATCAAGGCAATACTGACGACTTTAATATTGTATATCTGATGTTCTTTTTGGGGGAGAAAGTTGGTAGTAAGTATATAACTAAACTGAAACATCTACCACGGAAATGCTTAGGGATCCAAGTGTGGAATTCAACAATTCAATATCTTGAATTCTTTTCCATAGTAGAGGGCCGTTATGTAAACAAAAACAATCCTCAAAGTGACTTACTGTGGTCAGTTAGAAGTATGTCTTGAGCTGTTTTGCCTGGATATTGAACTAACTAAACTCCCTCACAGATGCTCAGTTTGCACCTGTTTGATAAATGAAGTAAATAACAATAATGTGTTACTTGAATATATATGAAGCGGCGATGTCTTCCCGAAGCCGCTTTCGCGGACTAAAAGAATTTTATTTTATGAGAGTGCTATAGGGACAAGTTTTATTTCCAATCTTTCTAGCGAGGGGACATCACAGCAAAAACCGATTAAATTCTTCATGGGATTTTTAGAATTGTTAAGCTCGAATTATTTTCTTGTGACATAAAAATGGACAGATATTTCGTGATTCTAAATGTGCTATTTTCCCATCAGTGTAAAATTTATTCTCCCACATTCTTTATCTGGTTAAGGGGTGGTAAATACGAGAATTCAATATTAGTAGAAGAACTGAAGAAGAGTAATAAAAGCTGTAGTGTCCTTAGAATTGTGCAATATGGAGTTTCAACAAACTATAGCTTTGCATGTCTCAGTCCTATGATACCCCGCTGTTTGGGCTACCAGTCATTTGCATTCTGAATTATCCTATTTTGGTTCTTCAGTAAATATTCATTAACTTTTTTCTTTATATTTTTCAAATTTCCGCCACTGATGGAAAATTATATTTGAAAAAAGGGGACTGATAATGTCGTGGGTTGTATTTGGTAAAAGAAATTAAGAAGATCAATTTTTTAATTGGACGTGTTATAAGTCTGTGCATCATAATGGCCGACCATCTGGTCGATTTTTTATAAGTCAAATTGACTTATTTACAACTTTTTTCCTTTTTAGTTTTGAACAAGATTGTTGAGTGAATTATTTTCTAGTATCCTATTAGAGAAGAGGGATTCTATGTAAAGAAAAGTAGGGTTTCGAACATGTTCGTGGTACCAAACGGGAGAAAATGGAGACGTGCGTTCTCGAGTGTTGTTGAAGAAAAAACCTTACGTTATAAAGAAGTTATCTTTGATGAAAAAATTTAGCATTGTTATCACTTCGTTTTGTTTTGCTGTATTTTTTATTCCTTCATTAATTTTCTTTTACTTCGTTTCTTTTTTTCAAACACATTATTCTTTCCTGTCATTTCATTTCAGTTTTGTTTCGCTTTAGTTTGCGGTTTCTCGTATATTCTATTACTCATCGACTTCCTTTTTCTGTTTATATTATCATTGAATTGCTGCTTTTATTTTTTGCTACATGGTATCCTAACTGTCTTACTGACTACGCATAGCAGACTTACTGTCTCCGAATTTTCTTTTATAGATTTGTTATTCAATTATGAATCGTTACCAATAGCAACGCACAAGTCATGTTAAATATTCGATTAAATATTGAATGTATGTCGCATGTCATATACATATTATTCATACTCCAAAAATCTCAGGAGTCTTATTTGACCAGGGTATCTGTTGTTCCACTAAATTGGTCATCATGTAGGTGAATTGAACTCATAAAAAGTTACTGATTGCAAGGTTTAAAATAGGACATTTTAAGTATAGAATATTCAAGAGAAAATGCACCGTTTTTGTTTCAAAGTATTCTCTTAATTTTCTATCCCTATCACTCTCCTTGTGGCATTTRTTTTGATCAGAAAGTCAGTAGACATCGCTATCTTGAAAGACTTCGATCAATCCTGGTTCTCTGACTAATTTTTCTTCTAGCAAACGTTTGACCTGCATGACCGCATGTTTCTGCCACCAAACCCAGGTTTTGCACCACCACGTGACGGCAGCTATGTTAGATGGCAGGAACAATACAATCGTTTTACAACTGTTTTGTGTCTGTGTGTTTTTGTTTTGTTTTGTTTTTTGTTTTGCCTGCCCGCCTGCCCGCCTGTCCGCCTGCCTTTCATCAATTCCAAAAGACTATAAGGTGTCAGAACTCCTGCCTGGACCAGTCACCCTTACAATATAGTCATTAACAACTACGTGTTTAATTTCTATTCAGAATATTTCAAGATGGATTGAACTGTGACTGTGAAACAGTTAAGCTGGTAGAGTGGGCTTCTGATAAACGCATAACCATAGATGGAAAATGCAATGAGCCTGCGCACCTGGCTGGTCAGCCTGTGAATGAAATAAACAAAGAGCAATTGAAGTGTGGTATGTCGTATGAACATGCGTAGTTAGGACTTTTATACTCCAATTGTCTTCCCTTATAAACGTATTACGTCAGATTCTTTACAGTGTGACTATACCAACCAATGGCATTCAGGCTAGTTTTCACACAAATTAGCCAATCACCATTGAGTATTGAAACAATAGAATCAAATTTTTACATTTTCCCTTTTAAAAGCATAGAATAAACTTTATACGTGTGTGTATGATCAAGAGCGAACAAGAAACAGTTTAACCTCGAAAATCACCACCATCCTGTTATTCAGCTTCAAAATATGTTTTGTGAATTTGATAAAAAAATTGTCTGTGTGGCCTTGGTTTTGCACTTGGTTTTGCACTGTAAAGGGTGTGGCGGTTAACCTAAAAACCATCGGTCGCAGTATATAGCTTCCTCTTTAGATAGTTTTATTACATGATTTTTATTTTAAACCCCAAAGTGGGGGTCTAGCTCCCACCCCAGTCCCTCTCCTCCCCAAACCATCTTTGTTGCTCATAATGCATAAAGTTCTTATCGTGTGCTTTTTTACCTATAGGCCATACGCATGTAAGAAAAAGGCGATCTATCATTGGTATGTAGTTACATCAAAACAAATAAACATATTCACTTGCTGATCGATAGACCACTGATAAAGGAATAACTATTAAACAAACTATATTAAGCAAACCCAACGATGAATGTATTGTATCAGTGGCACCCCGACCGACCGACCGACCGACCGACCAACCGACCGACCAACCGAAAAAGATACGAAAAATAAGCTGAATCAATTCTCACAACCAATCAGAAATTGATAACCTTACTACCAACCAATAACGATTAATAGATAAACCAAAACTGACCGACAGATAAAGTTCCAGCCAATAGACCAACAGTGAACCGTCGACTGGTCGTTCAGCCAGAAAACCAAACGTAGCTCACAACAATATTATTCCGTTTCTTTTGTTTCAGAAAATGAAACGCTGAATTTCACTGACACCAAACCAACTGGTCCAGGTAAGAGTATGATGTTTATAGTAAGAAAAGTATCACTTGTGTCTTAGTATAAACCTGCTACTGGATCAGTGGTCTATTTGGTTCAGGTCAAACATCAAACTTCACGTGAGCCGGACCTAATTGAAACAATGAATAAGAAGGTGGGCTTTGATGTCATTAGGTTCGGCTCATATGACATTCGACGTTTGACCTTAGCCTTAAGCAATAGACCACTTATGGCGAAAAGTAGCAGTTTAAAATTTGTATATTTCATCTTAATTTTAATATTTTTTGTCTTCATTTATTTGACCAATATGTAAGTTTATCTTGAAAATAGATCCCTCGCCCTTATCGTCTACGAGTCAATAGCCCTCGGCTACGCCTCGTGGATCCACACTACTTTGACAATGTGATGACGAAATTTATCGTCAATAAGAGGACAGACACATAAAAAACTGATGTCTATTTGTTTTTTACCATTACAAAAACGATGAAAACTTATCATTTTTAGCGATCAAATCAACCAATAGAAAGAGCGCACGCTCGTATCGCAGCTTTATCTGTCTGTCCTCTTATTGATGATAAAAAATAACCAATCAGCGCGCGAAAAATTTGTAAGTTATTGTAAAAATTAAATAAACCTCTAGCGCTATGTTAACCTATGTAGTTCTGAAATTTGAAACTTTCTTCATGTAATTGGTTTTTTATTTTTCAATAATTTGACTCCCAGATTGACTTCACTAGCAAAGGAAGTCTTTATAAAAAAAACTTTTTCCCCCTTCATTTTTAGATGGGCTTCCTTTGTGGCCATGCGACTTTGAAGAAAACTTTTGCCAGTGGTTCCAGTTATCTGACAGTGATTTTAAATGGACAAGACAGAATGGGAGCACCAAATCCCATTTCACCGGACCAAATGGAGATCATACATTTGGCAACGGTAAAAAATCAACCAACAAAATATATAACTTCGCTTGTATGGAAAAACGACCTCCCAGTCCAAAACGGAAAGCAGGTCTTCCAGATTTTATTGATACCCTGAAACAATCTCATGAGCTGATCAAAAACAGGGCACAGCTAACTCTAAGATTGAATTGGGATTTAGTGTCCGCGTGTCGGGATTAAACGGAGGGAGAAAAATTCTCGAACCAAGGGACAGGCCTAACAAACCCTACTCATATCAGCGAATGCTGAGTCCCGTGGAACCGAACCCGACACGAGAGAGGTGAAAAGCGAGCTCCCTACCGCTACGCTTTATCTGCAAAAAATACAGAGAACTTCTTCTTAATGCAACAAAGACAATTTGTTGCGCGTGTTGCGGTATAATACAAGCAATATTCACCTTACAATTGCTGCAGCCAAAGGTTGAATATAATAGTTTGCGCGACTCTGTTGCTCGCGTTTTATGTACCTTATGTATATTGTGATAAACAGTTTGATCAATTCAACTTTGAAAACCGATAACAACGTGTCGTATTCCTTGTTTTAGGTACTTACATATACATCGAAACTTCCGTACCAAAACAATTGAATGACAAGACAAGACTAGTGAGCCCTACGCTACGTCCAGTAAAGGCAAACCAAACATGCAACGTGAGTTAACTTTTTAAAACTTTTTTCGATTTTTGTTTTTTGATTTATTATTAATTCTTGGCACGAAAAGCTTAGAATATGAGAGAATAGAGGCATTGTACCATCACGTGACGGGAGTTATGTTGGATGACAGGAACAATACATTCGCTTTACATGAGAAAGAATTCTGTTCCCGAAACGTTATAGTGCAAAACCTTTATTGAAGTTATAATTTTCTTTATGTGCGGATAACAGAGAAAGCACGTGTGACTAAATGGCCCTGTGAAATACACACAAAAAGAAAAATACTTATATGTGTGTCAAAAAGTGAAGAAAGATATTACCTCGAATTTCACGTGAGTCGTTCACAAAAAAAACAATGGATAACAAGGCGGTCTTCTTTTATGTCATTAGGTTCGGCTTATGTTAAGTTCGACTTTTGTATTCGGTCTTAGCAACGTTATTTTGTTTTCATTTGGTGACACCTCAGCTTTTCTCGGTCCTAACTCTCGGTAACATTTTTCACAGATTAGCCGGGATCCATGCGAAAATAGTTGGCTCTGAATGGTTGTTATGTGGTTTATTCTAGATGTTGATGATGAGGATGAGGATGAGGATGAGGATGAGGATGAGGATGAGGATGAGGATGAGGATGATTATTATCATTATTATCATTATTATTATTATTATTATCTCAATCGCAGATGACGTTCTATGTCCATATGTACGGCAATAACATTGGTCAGCTAAATATTTACCAAGCACCAGTCATTGGACACGATACTTTAAAGAAATTCTTCAAGACTTCACAAGGAGATGCCTGGTTGAAAGAAGAAGTTACATTTGATAGTAACGAAGAGTTTCAGGTAAGGTTTGGCAGTGCCATTTTATTCACTTGTACCTTGGTGTTGCTTCTTGTTAGATTGGGATGACTGCAAAGAACACAAAGTCAGGATTTAACATGGCTAACTTACAGATCGATTTGGACAACTTAGACGATACGGCGGGCATCTTGGATCGCAAGGCATTATAGGACATTCCGGGGGCAAATAAAGCTTTGTTACAGTAATGACGTCGATTGATATTAACAACTCACCACAAGAGAATACAAAAAAAGATGAATTTAAATGCCACATCGATCACATTTACCCTTAAATGAAAGACTTTCGTCATCTTTTTTTTTTTTTTTAATGACGGCCAATCGACGTTCTCCGTAACATGGCTGCGCCACAATAGACCCCTTGCACTAAATCCCTATCCGGGGGTCAAAACAATTGAACATATTAACATCATAAAAGATTTCAATCCTCAAGAGAAGGGAATTATTTTATTTTGACCCCCAGATTGAGCTGCTTTGATGTCACATGCTATGTTTTTTTTATTTCAAACCACATGTCACTCTCTTGAAAATAAGATTCCTTTTTTTTAATCTTATCCATATTCGTGTTTTTTTTTTTCATGCAACCGTTAAACAAAGAAATGATACTCTAGGGAATGACACGTRGTGTGAAATAGGAAAACATTACTTAGCGAAAAAGAATTATAGAGCGTTTTCACTCACGTGAGAAGACAATCATAAACAATAGAAACTTTCTGCACAGTTTTTGCATAAAAATAGAGTTCAATTCCCGGAGGATAGAAAATGTATTGTTTTGGTACCCCATAATGGCCACTGTGACATCACGTGAAAACGCTCTATAGGCCCAATCACATTAAATAAAAGAGTTGAGTTGTTTGTAGTTTGAACATGTTGTGTTGTGTCTTTAGATCATTTTCGAAGGAGTCCGTGGAAATGGCTATCAAGGGGACATAGCGCTTGATGACATCTCTTTCAGTACTGGCTGTCAGCGACTTGGTAAGCTTGCTTTCTATTGATAGCTACGTGGAGCTAATGGTTTACCGGTATTAGACCTTTTTCGAATTGCAATTAAAATTCCGCTGACCCCCTTGAATACGGATTAATTTACGCAGGGTTACCCTCATTTTAACGTCAGAATATCTCAGAAATAATAACGGTAAAGCAAAGAGTGGACAACTTCAACAAACATTTTAAAATTCCACGGACCTTTGCTAGAACACATGAATATTCTGCACAAAATCGAGGCTAACCCTGCGCAAATGAATCAGTAGTCTAAGAACATAGTGGTATTTTACTACGAACTCGAAAAAGTCTAATACGTTTCCCCAAATAAAGTTTATAAAGTATGGGTAACGTTAGTTATCGTTCTCATGTGAACTTGTTTGGTGCAGTAATGGTTTCTTTAATGTGGCAGCATTTTTTTCAATTGATTTCTATTATTTTGAGCTATAAACTGAAGTATTTACTATATATGTTATGTTCTTTTTATCTTAGTCCCAGGGTACGTTCGACTACGTTCGGCTGATCCCAAAGCCTTCAACACTGGAGTGGTCGACATTTACAACAATGGTAGCTGGGGGCAGGTATGTCGAGATGGATGGACATCAGCTGATGCTAGTGTCGCTTGCAGGGAACTTGGCTTCGATTCCGTAAAACAAATATCCGGTAAGAAACACTACTATTTATAAAACATATTTCTAAAGTATACACACAATTGCAAGAACTCTGTCACATAAAAATAGCAGAATAAAAGGATAGCAAATAGGAATAGCTGTTATTGCAGCTGAGCCCGGAATGAGATAATCTTTTGTTTTAATATTCATCAAGAGACCATGAAGGTTTCTTGAAATCATACCAGTGAGGCTATTGGGTCGATACAATGCTTGTTGTCTCATTTGCTTCTCATTTGCATGCATTTATAATATAATACTTTTTTAAGCAAAACAGGTGTTGTAATAGGACATTTTTATGATGACGTCATTTGACACCCACTATACCAAGATGCTTCACGAATTTTCTTTCTTATTCAAATTTGAATTTGAAGTTCGACGTTTGACCTGAAATTCGAAGTTCGACGTTTGACCTGAGCCTAATACACATTAACAGACCCTAACTCCATTGTTTTCTTTTGTGTCTATTTGACTATTACACGTTGACTAGTATGTTTTGTTCTTCACGGGTTAGATGCCTTCACTCTAACCCGTGGAATGAAAAATACTAGTCAACGTGTAATAGTCAAATAGACACAAAAGAAAATAAGGAAATTAGGGTCTACTAGAGTGATTTTCATATGATCGTGAAAGAATAGGCAAACTAATAGTTAGTAGTAGACTCTAAACCAATGATTTTCTTTTGTTCTTTATCAACTATTACAAACTAAATGGTCTATTTTCTTTCACGGTCATGTGAAAATCATTCTAATGTGTATTAGTCTAATTTCTATTTCACGGTTTTAGTGACTTCACTCTAGGTGTGCGTTTCTGGATGCCATTATCAATTTAGCATGTCGTTCTTTATTTATTTCTTTATTTGTTATGTATTTAAATTAGCCAATGTTATTGTTTCAGCTGTTTCTACGAATGGTTTATCTATCACTGGTCTGACGAGCCTCAACTGTACTGGGACAGAAACATCGGTAAATAAGTGTCCAAGAAGTGCGTGGTCCAAAGCAACTCTTTGTACTAGTAACCAGACGGCCTCGTTAGGTTGCACAGGTAATGGGTGACAGAATGGTAGAGTGCACACCATACAGTCCTTTGACTAAACGTTGTCGTTTGATCGGCTTCATCCCTACGCTCCTAGACCGAAAAGGATAACGGGTAAATTACCCAGAACTTGCGTCATCCAAACTGCTCGCCAGTTTAAATCTTCGCCATATGCTCGAGGCATGGTTTCAGCAAATTAAATGGGATCGAAAAAAGCGAGCTCAAGACGTGTTAGATAACATGTATGCGGCAGCTTAGTAACTGTGAATTAATTATCCCCATGATCCTTTTCTGTCTAGGCGCGTAGGGATGAATTCCATCAAACGACAACGTTTAGTCAAAGGACTGTATATCCGTGAAAACGTTTACTAACAAAATTGTGCAGGTCCACGGTCTACTGGCTTAATAATTTGCACAAATTTGTGCTTTCTTAGATAAATGATATGCACTCTAGCAGGTTATATCTGAACTGTAAAAACAGGGGCGGGTTAAGGTTGGTTCTTAAAAGAGGGTAAAAGCCTCATTTACGACAGTGCTCCTTCAGCTAGTAGCTACTTTTCCTGAGGATCGAACCGTGGAACTCTAGCTCCGAAGGTCGCGAAACAAACAATTTAGCTACGCCTGCTTATAAACAGTACGAGGAACTTTATAGACCTTTTGAAAAAATTTGCTTGGGTGATCACGAAAAAATGACTTCAAGTCGAGGATGGATTTGATGTGTTCATACATTTACTGTTTTCTATCAAGTCCAACCTCGACTTGGATCGATTGTTTCGTGGTCACTCATGCAAATTTGCAAAAGGTCTATTCTGTCCTGTAAAGGGTATATTCTAAACAAGAAATAAATGTTTGTCTTTTTACAGGTATTGCACCTGTATGTCCTCTTAAGACTCACATGTACTGCCCCAAGAAACCAGGCGAACCAACGGCAAAGTGTATCTCACTTGGTCAGCGATGTGACTTTATCGATGACTGCTGGGATGGCTCGGACGAAAGGGATTGTAACAATTATACAAGATGCACTTTTGAAGAAGCAGATTTTTGCGGCTGGCTTCAGGCAGTAAATGACCACATGAACTGGACGAGGCACCGTGGAAGCACTCCAACACAATCCACAGGTTAGTATTCGTAAAACATTGTACAAATAACTCAGCGGTCTCGATATTTTACATGTTTGTACAACTGTGTTGATGTTCCCAGTTGGTTTAAAAAGTGGGAACTATGATGCAATTTTATCAAATTTGGTCATTTTACCAAATCTGCCCATTTTACCAAAATTTGGTCATTTTACCAAATCTGCCCATTTTACTAAATTTTGTCATGTTTTTGTAACGCGTAAGTGGACCATTGTCTCTAAAAAAGCCTTCCTTTTCACCAAAAAATAACAAGAGTATCCCTTATTAGATATTTTCCCGGGCTGAGATATCACTTGATAACTTGCATACTTAATTAGCAGCTCGTCATGAAATATTCAATAAATTATGTTAATAATGCTAAACCTATTTCTTGAACAATTCAGGTCCAAGTCAAGATCATAATGGGGATGCCAGTAAATATTACATCTATATTAACGTGGCTGGACGGGCGGCAGAAAAGGCCAAAATCGCAGTTACACCTCGATTTCAAGGTACGTCCCGTGTATCCTATAGTTGGCAGTTGCGCAGATCAAGACATACCTTTTCCCAGAATTCTTCACCCTCTTAAATACTACCCGTACACCGTTGACATGCCGTAACTCAACACTGAAGTTGCTTTCCATTGTCTTGAACTAATAGAGGTTTTGCACCATCACGTGCCCACGACAAATAATACATCTTGGACTGCCTGTGGTTAGATGGCAGAACAATAGAATTCCTTTGCTCTCGGGAATTGAATTCTTTCTCATTCTTTCCTGCCATTTAACATGGCTCTTGTGATGGATACGGCTACGAATTCCTTTCCTTAACCCAGTGCATCAAAGTAGGTCAGTTTTCTTGAACTATGGTTTAAACCATGTCTTTATAGGTAACCACCAAGGACTATGTAAGGTTCGATTCTTTTATCACATGTACGGTTGGGGGACTGGATCCCTACGTGTCCTGATCACCGATCAATACACAGTCCGTACATTATGGCAGAAGAAGGGTAGACTAGGTGACCAGTGGAACAGAGCTGAAGTCACGCTACTCAATACTTCCAAATCTTTCCAGGTAAAGATAAAGAAACTTAAAAACTTTACCTTTCCTCTTATGATAGCATGGGTAGTAAGACGTATCTAGCCACATGGCAAGATCGAAAAAAAAAAAACGAAATTTAAGATATTGTGCAACAACGAAACTTTTCCCGAATTAGCTTCAATGACCACGAAACAAAGGGTCTAAGTCGAGATTAGACTTGATTTATAAAAAGCAGTAAATGCATGAAAACTTCAAGTCCAACTTTAACTTGAAGCCATTTTTTTTCGTGGTTACAACATGATTACATGGTCATTTTCTAAGTTGTAGCAACAATATAAGCCGTTGTTACTATTTATAGGTGGTTTTTGAAGCTGAACACACTGGTTACGTCAGCCAAGGTGATATTGCAATCGATGACGTTTCATTCACTCCAGAATGTCTTCCAGCCAAACATGGTAAGTATCTTATCAACTGTAATCTAAAGTAAGTGCAATGCACAATATCGGCCATATATTGATATAAATTTTAGTTAACTTTAATACGAGTCTAAACCTTAATAAATGAGTATGTGTTTATCAAATCTAGCGGTATGGATGGGATGTAAAGGCCAAGAGAATCGTAGAGTCAGGCAATAGCATTTTGCCGTTGCTAGGTTATTTGTTTTTAGCGTTGCTAATTTTACTTAAACTCAAATAACAAAATGAGACAAGGTCTACCAAATTAAATATACGTACAGTTCCAAACTTCTGTAAACGATGTTTAAGGCCGAATCACAAAGGTTGAACTTCACATGAGCTGAACCTAACGAAATAAAAGATGACCCCCTTACTATCAATGAACTACTTGGACGATACGGCGGGCATCTTGGATAGCAAGACATGCATTATGAGGCGTCCAGGAGTAAATAAAGCTTTGTTACAGTAATGACATGGATTGATGTTAACAGCTCACCACAAGAGAATATAATAACAGACAATGAATTTAGAAGCCACCGGCACATCGATCACCTTTACCCATGAAAGAAAGAGAAAACACACACCATTTTTGTCATCTTTGTGTTGTTTTGCCCCCCGGCAAGATGGCCGCCGTATCGTCGACGTACTCCATTGTTTTCAATGTGTACGGCTCATGTAAAGAACGACGTTTAACCTCCTCAAATAGACTTGCTCCAAGTCTCGCTCGCTAATTTTTTTCCGTTGCAAAGTTGGATTCGAATAGTGCACTTGTGGTTACGATGGCTTTCTAAAGGCTCGCTCGCCTTTCAAAGCCATCGTTACCGGAAGTGCACTTATTGAATCCGAGTTTGCAACGAGAAAAAAAAAAAACGAAAATACTTGGAGCAACTCTACCTCCTGAGTTATGTTTCTTTCTTATTTGATTCACTTGTTCCGCCAAGTTATTTGTACAGGTTGGTGGGAACTAGAAATGTTCATTTTAACGATAATTTTAATTCTGTTCTTAGAAAATATATCCTGTTCGCCAAGTACCTTCAAGTGCTCAAGCTTGGAATGTATATCATTAGAAGACCGATGCGACTTTAAAATGGATTGCTTTGATGGAACAGACGAGCGTAACTGTGGTAAGAAGACTACTGCTTCCTTCTTTTCCTTCTCCTCCTTCTTCTCCTCCTCCTTCTTCTCCTCCTTTTTCTCGCCCCTTTCCTCCTTTTTCTTCTCCTTCTACTCTCCTCTTCCTCATCCTTTTCAGAGGTTTCCGGTAAGATTTACTTCTTTTTTCAAACATAATCTGAGCTGTACTGTTGTTTTAAAATTCATGTTTTTCATTTTCGTGGTTCACCATCAAGTTCGGATGCCTACATTACCAAATTACAGCCATTCTCAATCACACGCGCCGCTCTAGCAATTGTTTCTGTTGCGACGAAGAAGCTTTTGGTGGACGTCAATCAAGGCGTTTCCATGACATTCTATAGGCACATGCCCTTTTAGCTTTGTGTTTTCCGACAATGTTATGGAAACGCCTTTGTGATTGACGTGCACCAAAACCTTCTTCGTCGCGACAGAAACAATCGCTAGAGGGCGCGTGTGATAGAGGTGTAATGTGTTTTGTTTAATAAACTGATTTTCTTTTATCCAGGATTCAATACACCAGGGCGATGTAACTTCGAGGGCAATTTCTGCGACTGGAATAATGAAACAGATGACAAATTCGATTTTGAACGACACCAGGGATCAACGGTATCCTTTGGTACTGGCCCTTCCTATGACCACACCCTTGGATATGGACAAAGAGGTGAGAGGGTTTGGTATAAGCTTCTTCTTTTCTATTTTCACTATTCATGTTTAGTGGCGTGCCTCCCTTTTTATCTGAATAAAGGACTGACGAAAGACATATTCGTTATGTTCACACAGCTTAGTATTATTATTATTATTTATTTATTTATTTATTTTATTACCGATAGCAGAGTAAGTCATACATTAAGAGTAAGACACAGTTATTAAAAAAAATATTGAAGGTTTCGTTGCATGTTGCATGTTACTTACCAAGCCCGAAATGCGTTATGGGCGATGTGAATGCAATCAGCGAAATGTTACAACAATTGTATATGGAATGTTACCAAACTTTGTCTGCCCGTTTTTCCGACATGTTTCTTCTTTGTTAACATTATCTACATATGAATATATAATACATTTCAGGCTTGGTAAACAGCATGCGAGCATACAATAAAACATTCACCAGCTATTTTTGAAATAGGTGTATACAGGGGCGGATCCAGAATTTTGATAGGGGGTTGTACCAAATGAAGAGATGTATATAGAGATATTTTGCATCGCTTCAAAAAAAGCGTACTGATTACGGTGTTAGGGGGTGTCCGGTACACCGCAGGACACCCCCCTGGATCCGCCCCTGGTATAGACCCCTTGCACTGATTCCCGAGAGGAATAGTTCTGGGGGACAATACAATGGATGTTTTTTGTACAAGAAAAGACGGCCTTTTGTTTTGTCCTCCAGAACAATGCCTCTAGGAGTTCAATGCAAGGGGTCTATTGGCTGACTTCTTTGCCATTTCGTTATTAATTGACCTTAAAAAAATTTTTTTCTTCATTCCTTTACCGGATAAACAGGTTTTTATGCATACATTGAATCGTCACATCCCAGGAAAAACGGAGATAAAGCAAGATTAGTGGGACCTCAGTTTATGTGGAAAAATATAACTGGTTGTAAGGTAGGAGTTTCTTACTTTTAATTATCAACGTGGAAATTAATATAATTTATTTCAAGTGGAACATGCAGGGAGTCTCCAGCTTAGGCTTGTATTTAAGTTTTACACGACCTCAGATTGAATTTGAATTTAGAACAGTAGACTAGGTGAGTGCAACTCTCAATAAATCCTTGGTCCATCAGATTGCTAACTAGACTAAAAATAACTCGCGCGCTGATTGGTTGGTGACGGTGACGTCGTCTTTGTAAGGTGCTGAATGTGTTTTCGGCGCTTTTTCTCCTGATTTAGAACTGGTTAATTTTTACGGAGGGAGGAAAGCCGGAGAACCGGTCAAACTCGGATAGGCAAGAATATGCAAGCAACTTGCTCTTTGGTTTTGTAGATGGTTTTGTAAAACTGGAGTAACCGAGAGAAACGTCAAAGGATACATAAGTAAACCAACATTTAACAAAAAAAATGGGTGGAAGAAAATTGCTGTTAATGAGCAATGCAGAACTTTGTAAGTCTACGTTACTATAAGTTACCTGTGACGTTAGAGCGCAAACGATAACAGTGCTTCAAAAGTATTTAATTAAAAAGCATTTCTAATACATCAGTTTTAAGTTCTCTGTTGTTCACGGTTAGCCTTTATTTTTTGTAACATATTCACATGTTTTCATAAGAGGTTTTACATTCTTTACCTTACCGTTAGTATTTGTGAGTAGAGTGCAAATAATATACCCGTGAAATAGTTACGATTAAATAGGAGATAGTTAGCGCTTAATTAGACAACACATAGGAATTCAGTGAGGCATGACAAGGGCACGGGCGTTTACTAGAGTAACAACTCATTACGCAACTGAACGTTTTTTCTGACAAGTTTATTGAATTGAGCTAAGAATCAAGACACAAGACGCACATTTAATTCTGCAGTAAATCATGACACAAAAAACCCAGTACGCAAATTAACGTGTTTTCTACCATTTTTATTTGTTTTATCACGCTAAA